GCGAGTGGAGCCCTGGGTGCGGGTTCGGGCACCTGATGGACACCTGCTCTCCCGCCTCTCCCTGCTCCTCCCGGCCGCCTCCCTCATCATTGTCATTGTCCTCCGGAGCACATGGGCACTACGGCTGTGTGCCAGCTGTGAGAGGCCTCTCACCTCCGGGCACCGGCTCGGCCTTTGCGCCTTCTGTCCGCCAAGCTCCAGGGTGACCACATCCCTGCTACGCTTTGCCCGTCCCAGCCTGATCCTGCTGCTCAGTGTCCTCCTCTCCCAGAAACGTCCCCCCCAGTCCCTGCATCTCACGAGCACCCTCAGCCTGGCTGCGAGGTCCCCCTGCTCTGTGCGACAACGGGCCCCCAAAAATCATTCTGCAGACCTCTCTGGCTCTGTCTTGTCACAGTATTTCAGGATGTGAGAGACAGGAGAGACCACTGGGAAATAGAAGGATTTTATTCGAGGTTTATGTGAACACCAGCTCAAAGGAAGAGCTTTGAATAAAGAAAAGTTTTAGTTTTTATGCATTTGGTCAAGGAGGGGCTAGTCTTATTAGTGATGCTGCAAGCGAGTTTATAAAAACAGCACGAGGGCAGACAGTTATGTAATTTAGCCTTGAAAGAAAACAGAGCCTGTGAATCTCATGAGAACAAAATGACCTAAACTTTGTTTACAGGATATAGTTGCCAATTTTATCTGTACCAGAACAAGAAGTTACAGCTACTAGGGGAGAGAGAGGTGGTGGGGGCTGCCCAAGGCTGGGAAAAACTTGTTTTTCTTTAAGTCCTGGTCATTCCCCACTTGGACGCTTTTTATAACAAGTTTGCTTGTTTGTTTTTGTACAGGGAATCAAACTCAGGACCCTGAGCTTTTGAAGCAGGCAGTGGCACCACTGAGCTAAATCCCCATCCCTGTAACAAGTTTTGTTTTTTGTTTCGTTGTTGTTCTTTTGTGTGTGTGTGTGTGTGTGTGTGGTACCAGGGATTGAACTCAGGACCTTGCGCTTGCGAAGCAGGCGGTGGAAACACTGAGCTAAATCCCTGGCCCATATTGTTGTTTTTTGAGACAGGGTCTCACCATGTAGTTGAGACTGACCTGGAACTCACTATGTAGCCCAGGCTGGTCTCGAACTCACAGTGATCCTCCTGCCTCAGCCTCCCGAGTGCTGGGATTACAGGAGTGTGCCACCACGCCCGGCCAACCAATCTATTTTCAAAGAGTTCTCAACCCCTGGGGGAGGTCAAAACTACTCCATAATCTCCTGTAAAGCCTCTTCTAAAATTTTTAACTTTTTTTTTTTTTGGTACCAGGGATTGAATTTGGAACCTTGAGCTTTCAAGGCAGGCGGCAGCACCACTGAGCTAAATCCCTAGCCCTTTAACATGTATTTTAATGGGGTGGGTTTTTAATGCTTTCTTTCTCACATCTACTCTGTTGCAATGCAAATCACTCTCTCAAGCACTTTTGTTTCAGGAACAAACTGAGCTCTTCCAAACTAACAAGCAATCATACGTATTTCTTTCAATAAACTATTTCCACAAGCTTTTTTCTTTTTTTTTTTTTGGTATTGGGGATCGAACTCGGGGCCTTGCTCTTGTGAGGCAGGTGGTGGAACCACTGAGCTAAATCCCTGGCCTCTACAAGCTTTCTTTTGACATATGTAAGCTTTTCAGTTTTGTCATTAGCTCTCTTTTTATATCTTTATCAGGACAAAACTTTTTTTTTATTAAATTAAATTTTATATATACATACACACACACACACACACACGCACACACACACATATATTGTTTTTGTTTTTTGTTTTTGTTACCGGGAGTCAAATGCTGGATCTTGTGATTGAGAGGCAGGTGGTGAAACCACTGAGCTAAATTCCCAGCCCCAAATCATATTATATCAAAAGTATTCTTTTATTTTCTTTTTTTGCTGTTGTTGTTTTTTGGGGGGGGGGCGGCTTTGAGACAGGGTCTCACTGTATAGTTGAGACTGACCTGGAACTCACTATGTATTGTAGCCCAGGCTGGTCTTGAACTCACAGTGATCCTCCTGCCTCAGCCTCCTGAGTGCTGGGATTACAGGCGTGCGCCACCACGCCCGGCTCAAAAAATAATTTTTAAAATGAATAAAAAATTTAAAAAGAGGATCACAAGCTCCAGCTTCGCCTGAGCAACTTTGTGAGAACTTGTTTCAAAATTTTAAAAATTTAAAGGAATTGTATGACAAAAAAAGAGAGAAGGAAGTAGAAGAGGAAAAGAGAGCCCCAAGCTAGCGCACTGGCTCCATAATACCCTCCCCTGTAAGACCTAAAGTCTCACTTCCACTCGGAGGAGCATGAACAGCCGGGGAGGCCTCCACGATGCTGGGACTATAGCCCAGCAAGGCTCCGGGAGCTCGACAGACAGCGAGAGTCACCCAGGAAGGAACACACCGGACTAGTTGGAAAACAGACCTTTGTTAGTCTGGCCAGACAGCCTTCCTGGAGCCAAGTAGCTCCGAGAGGCGCCAGCTCAGGGGTTTGCACAGTTTTTAAAGGCAAGGGGGAGAGGATTTCGAGCACAGCAAGTGGGCAAGGGGTCAGTTTTCTGCTATCTATCTAAGGGGGTTGGGTGTAGGGCACGCCTGGTTTCTTACGTTGATCTTCTCTAAACTCCAGGATGTTCTGTTCCGGCAAGGCCTTGAGTCACTATCTCGTTTACCCGTACCAGGCTCCCAAACACTCTGTTCTAATCTTACCTGGGAGCAGGGCAGAAAGGAATGTGCATGACTGTATGCCGGCTGCACAGTGGTCAGGGTCCCACACCCCCATATTAAATGCAACAAGAGCCGGACACCTGTGATCCCAGCACTTGGGAGCAGAGGCAGGAGGATTGCTGCAAGTTTAAGGCCAGCCTATCTCAAAAAACAACAACAAAAACCCAAAAACAAAAATAAAATTCAGCATGAAGACCCTCACGGAAGGCCTGTTGTGCTCTTAGATTTCCCAGTCTCCAGAACTATGAGCCAAATAAGCTTCTATTCTCTATAAATTACCCAGTCTCTTATGTTTATAGCGGCACAGTTTGTAATAGCTAACACTTGGAAACAGCCCATTTGCCCATCATTTGGAGATGGATAAAGATGCGGCTTTTCTATAAAATGGAATATTACTCAGCCACAAAGAATGAGAGATTAGATTCAGTCATAGGAAAATGGGTGCATATTGAGGATATACTCCTAAGTGAAATAAATAAGGCACATATGTGTAAATGCCGAATAGTTTCTCTGGTGTGAAAAACTATAATGGTACATAACATCCTAACGGTATGATGGACAGGAAGAAAGGGGCTAATGGTGTAGGGAAGGTGGGAAGGGTAGGGGAACCTAATAAGGGAAAGAAAAAAATAGGAAAAAATGAAAAAATGGAAATAAAAAGGTTTGTAAATGGGGAGGAGAGGACAGGGTGAAGGAAGGGCAGGGACAAGGGGAAAAAATGAGAACCAAGACCTGTCATGTAAAGGTACAAGATCCCAATGATGAATGTAACTGTACTGTATCCCTAAAATGTGCCAATAAACTCAATGAGGAAAAAAAAATCATAAAAAAATACCCAGTCTCTGGCATGTTGCTGTAGCAACAGAAAACAGACAAAGATGATATAGTGCTCCCAAACACTCCATAAGCATTATGAAAATAATGCATATCATCTAATGCATTAAACAGAGTTTTCACTAAGTCCACTGGATCAAGATGATTGTGGTATTTCTGTATCCTCACTCGTATCTGCCTGCCCTACTGAATGATGACATATTTTAAATATCTTGCTGGGAGTGGTGGCACACAGCTGTGATGCCAACATTCAGGAAGCTGAGGCAGGAGGATTGCCATGAGTCCAAGGCCAGCCTAAACTACGTAGCAAGAACCCATCTGAAAAAAACAAAAACCCACAAAATTAAATAAAATGAATGGTGTCGTATTAGGATAATGAGCTTATCAATTATTTCTTACAGTTTTCAGTTCTTTCTATGTTTTAAAGCTTCATTTTTAGATATACCAAGTTCAAAATACTTTATCCTCCCAGTGAAGTTTTAACATTACACAGTGAATTTTTCAATTTCTAGTAAAGTTTACCAACAGATTGGGAAGCAATTATCTGGTGAATCTTTTTCCATCTTATTACTTTCAGTTTTTCTGAATCCTTGTGTTTTACGTGTGCCATTTGTAAACACTGTGCTGCTGAATTTCATTTCTTGGGCCAGTCTAAATGGATCTAAAAAGATCACAGGGTGTTTTAACTCTAATCACCTCCTTCTGACTTATGTGTATACAGAACTTAGCCCTTTTATTTGTAACCTCCCAACTGAGACATTAGTATCTGTCTTAGCCACTTTCCCATTGCTGGGACAAAATACCTGGCACCTGCAACTTCTAGGAGGAAAGGTTTATTTGGCTGAGGGTTTCAGTTCAGGGTCCACCATCTCCAAGGCAGAAATAGGATGACAGGAGGGCCTGGCAGAGGTTACCCAGCCCATGGCAGACCGGAAGTGGAGAGAGAAGGGAGGAGCTGGGCACAGGAACACGGCCTTCCAGGTGACCACCTCCACCCAGGCCCACTTCACTATGGATGAACACACTGATGACACTTGTGGGGACATTTTAGATCTAAAATATAACGATATTCTTTTTTTAACGGATTTTTTGTTTTGTTTTGTTTTGTTTTTTTGGTACCAGAGATTGAACTCAGGTCCCTGCGCTTGCAAAGCAGGTGCCGGAACCACTGAGCTAAATCCCATAACGATATTCTTTATATCATCAATGTTTGGCTACATTTACTCAGTCAGTGTTCTTTACTATATCTTCCTTTTACCTCTCAGACCCTGCTTCTAGAATTTTCTTCCTCTTTTTGAGGGATATCTGTTAACTTTCCACAGTGGGAGAAACGTTCCCTGTCTGCCCTGTCCAACATAGCAGCCGTATGCAGCTATTGAGTACTTAAAACGTGGCAAATATGGCTGCATTGCTGGAGTTTTAATTTTGCATCATTTAAATTTGAATAACCATATGTGGTTAGTGGGTACATTGGACAGTGTAACTTTAGAAGCTCCTTTAAGCTGAGGGGCGTATGTCAGTGGTAGAGACCATACTTAGCTCATGGAGGATCTGGGTTTAATCCTTAACGAGAAAAAGAAAGGGCTGGGGATTTAGCTTATTGGCTCTGCCATCTGCCTCGCAAACTCAAGGACCCGAGTTCGATCCCTGGTACCAGAAAAAAGAAAAAGAAAAAAGATACGGGGGGAGCACCCTGGGTGGGGTGGCACACATCTGCAATCCCAGCACTTGGGAGGCTGAGGCAGGAGGATTGCTATGAGTTTGACGCCCACCTTGGCTACATAGTGAGTTCAAGGCCAGAACTACATAGTGAGACCTACTCTTTAAAAAAAAAAAAAGAAGAAGAAAGAAAGTGGGGCGTGGTGGCACACACCTGTAATCCCAGCACTCGGGAGGCTGAGGCAGGAGGATCGCTGTGAGTTCAAGACCAGCCTGGGCTACATAGTGAGTTCAAGGCCAGAACTACATAGTGAGACCTACTCTTTAAAAAAAAAAAAAGAAGAAGAAAGAAAGGGGGGCGTGGTGGCACACACCTGTAATCCCAGCCCTCGGGAGGCTGAGGCAGGAGGATCGCTGTGAGTTCAAGACCAGCCTGGGCTACATAGTGAGTTCCAGGTCAGTCTCAACTATATAGTGAGACCTTGTCTCAAAAAAAATTTTTTTTTAAATAAATAAAAATAAAAGAAAAGAAAGACGAAGGGAGGAAGATGGAAATAAGCGAAGGGAAGGAAGGAGAGATTTCCTCTTTTGATGGTCAACTGTCTCCGTCTTTATCTACAAACTATTTTACTCTTGTTCTTGAAAGACAATTAGCTGACACCATTTCGCTCAACGTTTTGAAGATGTTAAACCCTTCTCTGCTGGCTTCCGTTTTTGATCTAGTGAAGTCAACCTAATTTTTGTCCCCTTGGGTGACAGGTATTTTCTCTCCGGCTGGGTTAGACTCTCTCCGCTCTACGGTCTTCGGCAGCAAACACTAGCGCTGACCCTGGACTCGGGACCTCCAGGGGCTGGCGCTGGGAGACGCAGCCTGTTTCTCTTCAGCAGAGGTCGGCAGGTGACCAGCAACCCTGCTGTGAGGAAACTCGGGGCTGCTCTCCATCCAGGACAAAGGACTGGGGCCGTCCTGCGCCAGCCGGGACCGGGGGCCCCTTGCCGGCTCCCCCGCCCAGCTGGGTTCCTCCGGGTAGGCTGCACTGTGCCCAGCCCAGCTCCGCAGGGAGCACAGCGATGACCGGTAGGGGGCACTGTTGCCCGACTCCCACCTTTCATCCCCACCCAATCACAGGCGGTGATAATGACTTAGGTTTCTTTTTGAAAATTCCATATGTTTTTTTAGTTAAATTTCTTCTAAAACTTCTCAACTTGTTTCAACTGAACAGTGGAGATTTTGTTTTGTATCGTTTTGAGACAGGGTCTTGCTGTGTAGTTCAGGCTGGCTTTGAACTCTTAACTACGGAGCCCAGGCTGGCCTTCAACTTCAGTGATCCTCCTGCCTCTGCCTCCTGGATGCTGATATTACAGGCATGTGCCAGTCTTCAAAAGTGATATTCAAAAATAACAAAAGGGCCAGGGATTTGGCTCAGTGGTTCAGCTGCCTGCCTCACAAGCACAAGAACCAAAGTTCAACCTCCGGTACCATAAAAAAAAAAGTGATATTCATTCAGTAAAAATCATACTTTGAATTTGGTGTTTAGATCTTCTCCCAGGCCAAGTGATCTGTAACCATAAGGCTGGGCAAGAGTAGGGAGCAGAGGGCCAGGGATTTAGCTCAGTGGTGCTGCCACCTGCCGCGCAAGCGGAAGGACCCAAGTTTGATCCCGGCTACCAAAAAAAAAAAAAAAAAAAAAAAAAAAAAGAGTAGGGAGCAGAAGCACAAAGATAAATAATACTCTACAGTGGACTGGGTGGCCAGCAGCTTTGAATTTTGCATTTTTGAATGTTTTGCATTTTCACATCCCATCAAGTCTACAAAATATCCATGTATGCCGGGTGTGGTGGTGCAGGCCTATAATCCTAGCACTCCGGAGGCTGAGGCAGGAGGATTGCCGGGAGTCCGATGCCAGCCTGGGCTACTTGGTGAGTTCAAGGCCAGCCTGAATCACACAGCGAGACCCTGTCTCAAAAAAAAAAAAAAAAATCTGTGTGAATATCTGAGATATTCAATGCTTTATTATAAATAGGCATTGTGCTAAGTGTTTTCATCCAACTATAAGCTAATATATGTGCTTAAGGCCAACTAAGTTATGGAGTCAGGTTAGCTTAAGAGCATTAAATGCATTTTTTACTTACTGTATTATTAATTTATAATGGGTTTATCAAGAGGCAACCCCATAAGTGAAGGAGCATCTATCTATTAATTTACAAAAAAGAATCTGAACAGGTGATCAAAAATGCAATCCTTTAACACATGAAAAGGTGTCTTCGTTTCAAAGTAAAAGGAAAGCGGACTTAAACCACACACCACACACCCATAGACTGGTAGAAAGTCCCGACTGTTGACAAAATACTCTGGTGGTGAGGCCATGAGGGATGGGGGTCACTGTTGCTTCCTCAGGGTGATACAGCAGATGCTGGTTCCTCCCCAGCCTCCTCAGCGGCAGGCTGCTGGGAACTGTATCCAGTTTGAATAGGTTGCTCTGCTATGGGAATGAGTTCTGGCCTGAGGGTGTAGCTCAGCAGTGCAGCACCTGCCCAGCAAGGGTGAGGCCCTGGGTTTGATCCCTGGTACCAAAAAAAAAAAAAAAAAAGAACCTGTCACTTCACTCAAATCACCTATTTAATGTCTCACCTCTACAAAGGACATTCATCTAACAGAAAACTTTTACTGAATTGCCTTCTTCCTTTCCTGATCCAGACTAAAATTTCCAAGATCGATTGGTTTTCACTCGGAGCCCTAATGAACCGGGAGGAAAGAAAGAACAGCCTCTTTGGTCCCAAGAGCTGGGGGTTGACAGTTAAACCGGGCTGGAAACAAAAGACCTCAGCTCCGTGTCCCCCACCGTGGGCACGGTTTCCTCTGCAGCCACGAGTCTCTCCCCCAAACTGCTGTGCTCTTCTGAGTCGGGCCTGGAGCTTGCTGCTACTCCCGAGTTGGACCCAGCCACAGTGTAGTCTAATAGGGTGAGTGCATGAATCAATGAACGAATGCTAAAGTAGTCCATTTCCCCACATAACTTGGCAGAAAAGCTGTGGAACTAACTAGGAATTCAGGCATTTCGGCTTCCAGTACCAGTTCTTCCACTTACTAGCTGGGAGTACTCGTACATCTTTCTAAGAGTTCAAGACATCGCATTACAGCAATCCATGCACACCCATGTTTATAGCAGCACACGTCAGTACACTTGAATCTTGGAAGTGGCCTACGTGTCCATCGACAGATGAACGGACCAAGAAAATGTGGTGTTTACACACAATGGAGGAGTACTCGGTCATAACCCAGTCATTTGTTGGAAAATGGATGCACCTTGAGACTGTAATGTTAAGTGAAATAAATCAGACCCACAAACTTAAATATTGCATGGTCTTTCTGGTATAAGAAACTCAAAATACTGCCGCCTGCCTCGCAAGCACAAGGTCCTGAGTTAGATCCCTGGTACAAAAAAAGAAACTCAAAATACAAAAACAAACAAAAGGATAGATAACACGAAATAGGAAGATAGAAGACAGATCTCTTGCAAATAGGAAGGGGCCCAACAGAGAAAGGAAAGGTGAGAGGAGATGAAAAAAGATGTGTTCTGTACATATACCAACTCCCCGTGAGGAAGGTAATCGTGTTACTGCCAACGCGTACCAATAAAAAATAAAGTTTTTAAAAAAGAGTTCAAGAAATGTTTGCTGCCAGGAGTGTCGGTGCACGCCTATAATCCCAGCACCCAGGAGGCTGAAGCAGGAGTATCGCTGTTAAATTCCAGGCCAGCCTAGGCTACATGGCGAGGCCCTGTCTTCAAAAAAGAAAACAAAAGTTTGATCCCAGCACCAAAGAAAAGAAGAAAAAAGAAAGAAGGGGGGGGGAAGGAAAAAGAGGAGGAACAAAAGAAGTGAGGTGCGTGCGTCGCAAAGGTGTGACGAATTAACTGGGCTAATGCTTGTACGTCACCGGCCCACCATCCCGGGTCCTGAGAATCAATCTCTCCCCCCTCCCGTCCTCCCCCTCCCCTTCCCCCCCCCTCTCACACGCACGCACGCACGCACACGCACACGCTCCGTGTTTAAGCGGATCTCCCCCAGCAGAGCGGGAGTCTGGCTCGTCCCTAGCCGCGGGGCCATGAGGTGACTGCAGCACTCAGGCAGGGAACCTGCCGGACGATTATAGATCCCACCAGGCTCTGTCTCCTTCGATGAGGCAACCACAAGTCCCATCACGCCGCAGGGCTCTTCTTCGTTTCTTCTTGTACAAATGAAGGCCTACAATCCTAGTGATGAGCCTGCGGTCCAAGAGATCCCGTCCGCCCTGCTCTCCCAAGGCTCAGTGCTGCGGGGCCCGGCCACGCCCCTCCACTCAGACCTCCCAGGGAGGGGCGTTCCCCCCCCCCCGCAGGAGAGACGCATGCGCATTTCTCCCTCCCTGCCTGGCTCCTATCAGTCTTTCGCATTTCCTATGCTGGCTGCTTTTTGTCCCCTACTGCGTGCGGTGTCCGCTTCCCTGCGGAAGTGGTGGCCGTAAGGGAAGAAGATGGCGGCCACTATGGTGGCAGCACCTGGTTCGGCCGCCAGTCGGGCCAACAAGCGAAGTGGCGGGGGACCCGGAGGCGGCAGCGGCGTTGGCGGGGGAGCCAGAGCGACTGAGGAGGAACCGCCGCCGCCCCTGCAAGCAGTTCTTGTGGCCGATAGCTTCAACCGTCGCTTCTTCCCGATCTCCAAGGACCAGCCTCGGGTGAGCGCCGGCATGGGAGCAGATGTAGGCCGGGAGGGTGGTGGTGCAGGAGCGGGTTATCCTTATGGCTGGCTGGTGAAGCTCGCCCGGGAAAGACTTGATTATTCTAAAGTCGGGTTTATCTGGCTAGGAGGAAAGCAGAAGGGCTGTCAAAACTCTGATGACTGCTTGACCAAGTGAGTGGCTTGCAGGTGTGAGCCCTGAGGGTTGTCCACCCCAGGTCTGGCAGGATGGAGAGTTAAATGTGGAAAGAATGCTGAGGGAGGGAAGCTTTCACAGCAAAAATCAGTGGCCCCAGAGGAGCCTGCACTGCCTCTAACCTTGTGGAACAGATGCTTAGTTGGAAAGCAACGTCTCTCTTTGCCTCTGAGGGGGTAAGCGGTAGCCTAAAAAGGGCAGGCTATAGCTCAAGGCAGTGTACATTTTCCCCCCTTCTAGGTTTTAATGATCACCATTGCTGTCTGTCTAAAGGAGGATAGAATGGGTTTAGTGGCTGGTTACTGTCAGCTCTTGAGTTATCTAAAAATAGGAATTTAGACTGAGCTAGTCCTGGGATCTAACCGGAAAATCATTGAAATTCAGGAAAATCTTCCCTAACAACCCTCCAAAAGGCCTAATGGCTGTTCATTTTTGATAAGTGATGAGGGACTACTAGCTCAAGACTCTTAGAAAAGGCTCAAGGAGCCAGGCCTGGTGGCACAGGCCTGTAACTCCTGCACTCTGGGAGGCTGAGGCAGAAGCACAAGTTTGAGCCTAGTCTGGGCAGTTTAGCAACTTAATGAGACCCTATCTTGAAAAATATAAAATGAGCTGGGGCTATGGGCCAGGGATTTAGCTTAGTGGTTCCACTACCTGCCTCTCAAGCGTAAGGACCCAAGTTCAATCCCTGGTACCAAAAAGATAAAAAAGAGCTGGGGCTATATGTAGCTTCATTTTGAAGGCCCAAATAAGTCATGAGTACAAAACTAAAGAGAGGGAAGGAGAGAGAGAGAGAGAGAGATAAAAGAAGGAAATTTTATGCCAGCGAAAGCTTTAGTAGTGCTTAGAATTCTGGATATTTGATTAATGTTCAATTCTGTCTTTTGTAAAACCTGGAAACTGTGTCTAATACTAGACAAATAGATCCTGTGCTTACCTTACCCAAATTTGAAACACTTTAGCCTCAAGCTTTGCACATGCTATGAGTGTCAAAAGCAGGAACCACTGCGTGCAGTGGCACATGCCTATAATCCCAACCCTCACAAAGCTGAGACAGGAGGATTGACATGAGTTTGAGGCCAGCCTGGGCTATGTAGTGAGTTCAAGGCCAACCTGCACTGCAGTGAGACCCTATCTCAAAACAAAAAAAAAAAGCAGAAACCTGTTTATTTTTGGTTTAGAAAGATGAAGTAAAACTAGTATTTGGAAATACTGATAGATGAGTGAAATTTATTGTTGTAATTGGGTACCCTGAGGACCCTGTTGGATTCAAGAACTCAAAACTTTCTTCATATCCTGCCCTGCAGGTCCTCTTACCCCTGGCCAACGTGGCATTAATTGACTACACTCTGGAATTCCTGACAGCCACAGGTGTACAGGAAACCTTTGTCTTTTGCTGTTGGAAGGCTGCTCAAATCAAAGAACATTTACTGTAAGGCCCGGTGACTTTTCTTTCCATGTTTTATGATCAGGGTGGATGTGACTGATTAGGGGAAATGCTAGGAGGAAAACAGTTATTTGTGTAGATCCCATGGTAAGGTCTAGGGTGCCTGCTTCACTTGTGAGGTGAGCAGCTGTAGCTGTGTATCTGTCCATTTGGAGGTTCCTGTGACAAAAATTGGACTAACACTTGTATGAGGCAGTGCCTGGAGTCCTAACTACTCAGGAAGTGGAGGAGGAGATCCCTTAAGCCCAAGAGTTCAAAACCAGCCTGGGAAATGTAGTGAAGGGCTATCTCTCCCCACTGACCCAACCTCAAAGACACTTAGGTTTATTTGAATCTTACTTGGGTTTTGCTTTTTATTTAATGATTCTAATATGTAACTTCTTGGAATAACAGCTTTGTTTTTCCACTGAGTTTCCAAATTTTATCTGTTCCTCCCTGCAAGGACAAGAATGAGCTCTTTTGCATCTCTGTTTTCCCGCTGTCTAGTGTAGTGCCATAAACATAAAAAGCCCTTCACAAAGGTTTGTTAAAATCTAAGGAAAGAAAAAAATCTAAGGAAAGAATAAATCTCAGAATTTATGGAAGCTTAGGAAATAAAGACTAGCTATTAGTAGGGTCACCATTAGACAGTTCCTAAATTTGATACGGACCTCAAGGGAAAGATGACATGGAAAGTGTATATCCAAAATTCTTTTATACCCTTAGGTTTCAGCAGGATTTGGGGACAGAGGTCAAGGCGTAAGAGGAAATAACCATATTTCTCTAACCCATAAAACAGAACTAATAACATAGAATGCTGAAAGCATTAATTATAGTTCATAAATCTCTTTGAAGTTGAGGACGCTGGCTGGAGTCCAAAAAGGCCATAAAGAAAGTGTGAATGCTGAATGGGGGCAGGTAGGGAAGGTCCACATGTTCTTTAGATCCATTTACTCATTTCCTTCACCCTTTCCTTCCTGTAGGAAATCCAAGTGGTGCCGCCCTACGTCCCTCAATGTGGTTCGAATAATCACGTCAGAGCTGTATAGATCGCTGGGAGATGTCCTCCGTGATGTTGACGCCAAGGCCTTGGTGCGCTCTGACTTCCTTCTGGTGTATGGAGACGTCATCTCAAACATCAACATTACCAGAGCCCTGGAGGAGCACAGGTCAGGATGGGAAAGTGCCAGGGACCAAGGTTAGGGACCCGCAGAACTCTTAAGGCCGCTCTTTTGCAGCTGTCTCCCTCCTGTCCTTCATAGGTTGAGGCGGAAGCTGGAAAAAAATGTATCTGTGATGACAATGATCTTCAAGGAATCATCCCCCAGCCACCCTACTCGTTGCCATGAGGACAACATGGTGGTAGCTGTGGATAGTGCCACAAACCGGATACTGCATTTCCAGAAAACCCAAGGCCTCCGCCGTTTCTCATTTCCTCTGGTGTGTGGGTAACTAAGAAACCCAAGGTGGGAAAGTAATTGACTTCAGAAGGGGAGACAGGTTCAAGTCCTTGTATTTCTCCCCACAGAGTCTGTTCCAGGGCAGTAGAGATGGAGTGGAGATTCGCTATGATTTACTGGACTGTCACATCAGCATCTGCTCTCCGCAAGTGAGCTTTCGGGGCTGGAGCCACATGTCCAAAGTGTAGCCCTCAGGGGGTCTTGCTGTCTGCCCACAGGCCAGAGTATATTTTTCTCTCTTTTCTCCTCTGTAGTAAGACCAAATGATGCTATTATCTTGTCCCTGGTATATTAGGAACCTCTGGGTTTCTGGCCTAGTTCAGCTGTCACGGGTTTGTTTGGTTTGTTTGTCTTACAACACTGGGGGTTGAACTTAGGGCTTCTTGCATGTTAACCAAGTGCTCCACCACTGAGTTTCGACCCTAGTCCTGAGTTGGGTCTACCAGGTCCCTGGGTCACTCATCGTTGCTTCTGCAGAACAGCATCTAGCCTTAGCCCGACACACTTCCACCCACAGGTAGCTCAGCTCTTCACCGACAACTTTGATTACCAAACGCGAGATGATTTTGTGCGAGGCCTGCTAGTGAATGAGGAGGTAAGAAAAAGCTTCCAACACCTCTCTAGAAGGGTAAGCTGCTGCAGCATTTTATCTCATTCCCGTAATCTGTTATCCCTTTTGGGTTTCGTGGAGCCTTATAAGGGAAGAAAATAGCTGGGAGGTTGGGGGAGACAGTCTTCAAAGGAAACCCGCATGTTCTTTGGCCAAAACAGTAAAAGGCGGAGGGAACTGAAGAGGCTTAGAAAAGCATTTTACAGTGCTGGGCGATGTTCTTCCTGTGTTGCTTGCTCAGGTGACCTCCCGTCCTTCTCATTCAGATCCTGGGGAACCAGATCCACATGCACGTAACAGCTCGGGAGTATGGTGCCCGGGTCTCCAACCTGCACATGTACTCGGCTGTCTGTGCCGACGTTGTCCGCCGCTGGGTCTACCCCCTCACCCCAGAAGCCAACTTCACCGACAGCGCCTCCCATAGCTGCACTCATTCCCGACACAATATCTACCGCGGGCCTGAGGTCAGCTTGGGCCACGGCAGCGTCCTGGAGGAAAATGTGCTCCTAGGCCCTGGCACTGTCATCGGCAGCAACTGCTCCATCACCAACAGTGTCATTGGCCCCGGCTGCCACATTGGTGAGCACACGAGGGCATCACGCCAGCCATCCTAGGAGTAGGAACCAGGGGCCCGGATTGTTTCCAAAAGCAAGGATGGACACACGAGGGTAGTCCTCGGCAATAAAAAACTAGAGTAGAACTACCTTTAAAAAGGAAGGAACAGGGCCTGGGGTGTAGCTCAGTGGTACCATGCCTGCCTGGCAAGCACAAGGTCCTGAGTTCAATCCCTGGTACTGCAAAAAAAAAAAAAAAAAAAAAGGCGAGA